AATAATGAAATATAAATATCATAAAACACTCCCATGGCAATGTACAACACTCCATTAACAGATCAATTTTTAGCCTTTTTAAATATAAAAAAACTATAGAATTGAATGGAATACAGATCTGAGATGGGTGTTTCAAACTAGGTAATTCTAGAATGAGGTGGATAATATAAATAAAAATCAACCAGATGTTCTATGTACAGCAAAGAAGCGGGGTAGAACAGTATACCTGATGAACTGAAGTCAAAATTAAAAGCAAGATTGGAAACTGTTGTGTAATTTAAACCCTACTCCCTTTGAAAGCTTTCCTGGATTGAAGCTACTCCTGAGTTTGGCAATGGCGGGAGCCATCCTGTTTTGCACAATTCATGCAGCGTTAGAATAGGGCATGAAGTGATGGCTTTCTATGACAGCTCAGGTTATGATCATTACCCAAGAGAACACATGGCCCCAGTTTTTGATTGAGAAATACCATAACTGCTAGATAGATTCCATCTGAATTTTATGTTCTGGTAAGCACAAGATTTGAACTATTTTGTTTCCCAATTGGTCTGTCTCCCCACCTGCGGGACAGACACCTCACATATACCTAGTATTCACACAAGCAATGAAAATACTGTGATTAAGCTTATGTGTTCTCTAATCATGAAGGCCTCATTAAAGCCACTGGATACTTCATGCTTTGTACTTGTTACATTTAAATGGAATTTCTATTTTCTTCATCGTTCATTCCTCCCACTCCCTTGCTGTATGGATCAGTAGAGAGTTGTTTCTCAATGTGTGCAAAGTGGACGGGATAGAATGTCATCAGCACTGGTCTTTGGGAGTTAATCGGAGAAGGGTGATCATGAGACACCCCTGGGAACCGTCTGGGACCTCATTCCTGGGAGGAGTATTTCTGACATTTAAGTTTTGCATTGTTGTCCTTCTGCAAGGTGCAAAGACCAACTCCATATTGTCCGTAGAGGCTCTGCTACCATGAAGACACTTTGGTTGTGTCTGGGTAATGAAACCTGGAAAGTCAAAGGCAAAGGCTGCTCATCATTACTAATATCATTCTAAAGCAGTCTGAACTGAGCCAAAACTTGAGGTGGAATTTGGCCCTGATTCATGTGCTTTCTGCTATTTCTACATGACAACATGAATTCTTGTTACTGACATGGAGAAATATACATCAAGCGTTCCCCAAGGCATGTATAGTAGTACTGAAGGAGCACTTTTAATAAGTACCTAAGCAACCTCTCTATACAGATTCGTTTACAAGAGTAGATATGATTTAAAATACTTTTTTTTTCAGGAAGAACTTCAAGGACCTGGAGGGATTCAAAGTAGAGGCTACTTTTTCTACAGGGTATGGTTTGTTCAACTTTTTTTCTTTTCATTTCATGATGAGTGTTACAACCCAAAAAGTAGAGAAACCAGTGAATTACAGTAAGAATTATTGTGACTGAGGAAACTTTTTTTTCAGTAAGGGCATCCCCAGAGCTGCTCCTGACATTTTCTTTGATTAAAATAAAGACACAGTAGGAAGGCTTTGTAAACATCTTAATGTTTGTATATACATGATACCATGCTGTGTCTTGTGTTCTGACCAGTAAGATTAGAAACTAGAAACATAAATTCTCATGGGAGTGAAACTAGTCTGTTCATCTTTGATGCCATAGGGCCTTTTAACTCCATTTTTGCAAAATTGAGCAAGTTGAAGATGGCAAGTCAAACTTAATAATAATTCCCTTGATTTTGGTTAATTTTTTTTTCTATTTAAATAAGTGGCTAATGAAGAGAAGGCAAGTTTGTGTAGTTATATTGCTTATGTATCAGGATTGGATCTTCAGAGTTCTTACAACAGGCCAAAGTTATGGGTAATATTAACATCAATGCATTCATGATGCCAGAGTGAAAAGCAAATTCTTATTAAGCTCAGCAAGATATTTTTTATCATCTTTAATAGACATTGTATCACATTCCTTTGTAGTGCAAAGTATTTCTGAAATGAAACGGGAGGAACTCTTTGCCTGTGTTAAAGAACATAGACTAAAATAAAATCTTTGAGTAACATATATTTCTTTAGTAATTACAACAAACACTTAGAATGCAATAACAACAACAATCTGGAAGCACATCTTAAGAAAATGAAAAAAGAATGAGTGATAATGGCCTCTTAGAGTGACTTCTTGTGGCTTTCTCCCCCTTATAAAATCATATGAGATGGGCATAATTCATTCTTCAATCTGTATACAGGAATTGTTGTTGTATAATTCTCCTCCAGAGGTGGATATACATTAAAACAGTAACTGGTCTCAGGTTTATCTTTAATGATGATCACATTGACAGAAATGAGAATTTTCCCAGTTTCTGTTGGGTGGGGGTTTTTTACTGAAACCAGTCGGTTTTATAAAGCGCTTATTGGATATTTGTCTTTCAGCCACGCAATGGAAGGAGATCAGTGGATTTTCGCTAAGGAGGTATTTATTTAATACTTTTAATCACAATCTATATTTAAATTAGTTTATTTTTATACAAATAAGGCACAATTTGTGTTGAGGAGTAGTCTCAGAAAGCCTTCAACTGTTTTGTCAACTTAGATTTCTGCAGACGAGCTTCTCCCAGCTGTGATAAATATGCGTATCTTCAGGTGAATAGAAGCTGTAGCTATTCAGTTCCTAAACTGAGAACTCAGAGCTGTTTCAGGCAGCAAGAAATGGAAAATATCCCAGATCTGTAAACAGTTTGGAAAGTTTACAACAATGCTGAATGTCTGTCAGGAAGAACTGATTCAACTGCCTGTCAAATACCTCCTGACGCTCTGGGGGTAATCCCCTTGTTCTTACTCAGAAAAAAACCTCACACTGAAACTAAGTACAGACTTCAGGATTTAATTTCAAATTATTCAATTCTTTGGAGAGATATAAAAAAGATTCCCTATGCAGTGACGCTCTGGGGGTAATCCCCTTGTTCTTAACACAGAAAAAAAACCTCACACTGAAACGAAGTACAGACTTCAGGATTTAATTTCAAATCATTCAGTTCTTTGGAGAGATATAAAAAAGATTCCCTATGCCAATATTATAATGCTCTGTTTTCTATTGCATCTTACGTCTCTATCATATTTTAAGTATTTAGTGTTATATCATACCAATAGTTAAAGCTTTTTCTTATTTTTCAGGATTTTAGATTCCTGACC